ATTCAATTCTCTATATTATTTTTTATAATAAAGTTGTTGTTTTTAAAAACTTGCCTATCTTGTCAGTACCTGACCCCCAGTCATGCCAAAATAATTAATTTGCATTAAAATCAGGTAATTAAAATAAATAACTAACAAATTACCGATGTAACATAAACGGTGAAGACACCGTTTCCAAATCGAGCGTGACAATATTAGTGGCAGAAGCAGGAGTTAAAAGGAGTAGAGGTAAACGAATGCAGAACGTGCTACTTTTAGGCAAAAGCCATGACTAGCTCAGGAAATACGTGTCCAACCAGTCTTAAGATTGACGACACTATGATGATGGTGATGATGATATTTAAATTACAAATACCTAGACGCCAGATCTATTAATAATCATCAAGTTGTAATACATATAAGTAAACACTAAACAGTTGAATAAGTAACAGACCTTCCTGGGCCTAATGGAAGAAAACAACTCCACCGAAATTATAAACAACTAAGAATTCAATAAATAACCAAGTTCCGCAAATACTTTGGAAAGGTTCATCCCTACTTTTTGAATATTTTAGAAATCGTGCAACACAACGCTTTCAATCTTTCCAATCCCCCAAAAGATAATCTAAATAAGTAATTCAAAATTCTCTAAATTATTTATTAATCGTAAATAAAGTTTGTTCTTACCAGCCAAACGTCCGTAACGCTGAAACATTCTTTCTACGTCGGTTTTCGAGCACTGGAATGTGTTAAGGTTACCAACAAAAACTCTCGAGTTAACTGCTTGAGGATCCTGAGAGTTCGTCTGATTTCCCACTTTGCTCATTTTCATTTTTGATGTTTGTCTGGAAAAGAAAATTCATTTTTTATTACCAAGCTTAACAAAGCAAACTAATATAAACTTCATAAATAAACGCGTTGATAATGTTGTAGGTGCAGGTCTAAATGAACACAGAATATGAAGATTGAAATTAAATTAGGTCCAGAAAGACGACGGCCAGAAAGACGACGGCCAGAAAGCCCAAATAACCACCACTACATTACATTTTTAAAGTGAAACTATTATTACATTGCCTCAAATTTTTTCGTGCATTTACTGCATGTCGCATTATAGCCAACCGCAGAGTAGGGGTAAAACTGAAACGCGCTCGGCAGGGCTGTGTAACATTTATATTCTCACTCATTTGTGCAAGTGCATGACAATTACATTTATAGACTGCGAAACTCAAAGCGAAGACAAAATTATTGATAGAATAACTGAAGTTCAAAAAGATTCAATGATTTAAATAAATATTGTTCTCAGTTATTGACATGCTTCTATCATCTAAATGATTGTATTTATTATGTATTCCGTACTCCCATACGCAGATTGAAATTAAAATTTAGAGTTGGATATCTTGTCTACTATTGATATCCCACTATCATTATCATTTTCCAATAATTGAGATACGAACGATTAAAATTGCGATTTTAATTTTAATAACCTAAATTGAATAATTTTCCCAAAATTTACAGTAAAATGCCTACAATATCAGTTTTCGAGATGCAACTAGTAAGTGTTATTTAAATACGGACCTGAAAGCATATTCTATTACCTTTATAACGATATCCCACGCGATCATAATTTCGGACGCTTCAATTCAGTACTTTTTATTTTATTTTTAAGTACGTATTACTACAGTAAAACAAATTATTTGTAACGCAATTACATTTTCGACACGCCATGCTTAAATTAATAGATGGAAATTGCAGAAATGCATAAAAGAACATCAGAGGTTGCTGAAATATTCTTTTTTTCAATAACATTAAGTGCGGACCTGTTCTTTTCTTTTATTTTGACACAAAAAAATACAGGGTGGCCCAAAAAGTAGCAGCCAAACTGTAAGTTTAATCGAAAAATTTTTTATACAAAACTTGTTCCCTCTTTTAATACAAGATGGTCTGTATTATGCAAATTTAATTTTGTATACAGAGTGCTAAAAATAGAAAAAATAAAGTCTCGTTTTAAAGATAGCCATGTGAAATACGGCTCCAATCAAAAAAAGCTACAGGAAAAAGTTGTTTAGAATGTTAAAACGAAGTTGTTGTAAATTTGCATTCCGTTGTACCTCAATATCTACATCTATCTATTGATACATGACTGTAATTTCAATGAAACCTTGTTTTCTACTTTTGAACACTCTGTAGGGTAAATCAAATTTAGATGATACAAACGATCTTATATTAAAATAGGCAATAAGTTTCGTATAAAAAATTTTTTGATTAAAGTTTCAGTTTGACCGCATTCAGTAAATTGCGTACCTTTTGGACCACCCTGTATAATAATTGCATTTATTTACTACTAGATTTTACCCGCGGCTTCGATCGCGTTGATATCTTAATAAGCATGTGGTATTAAATTTATCAAATTAAATAAAACATAGGAGCAATAACTTAACTAACTATAACTATTAAGTATAGAAAATACTCGAATTGTGTTTTGTTATTATTTAGGCACCTGGGTATATTTCTATATATTTTTTTAATAACTTACTTAAAAATCACCCCATATCAGGAAGACCATTCAAAAATATTCGACATGGAGTAATAACCACATACCTCCATTCTTGTTGTACTGCGCTAGTTGCAAGAGCGTTACTATTTGTAAGCTATGTTGGTTCGTACGCAGCGCATCGCATGTAGCGCGCGCAGCTTCCGATTCATGATGCGCGCGCACCTTCCGTTGCATGCAAAGTGTTCGTTACAAATTTAAAATTAGCAACTATACCTAGGCGCTTACAACCATCCGATTTAAAAACAACTACAATAAGATGATTATTGTATAACAGCTTACTACGAATTTAAGTTAGATTATTTCAACAATTCATAACAATATAATACATGAGGTGTATTAATAAGTACCCACGGCTTTTGTCTCGTTAAAATCTTTGAATGCGAATTTTAGCTCACCAACTACATAAGATAAACTGCCGGTAATCTCGTTAATGGGGTGATTAACAGCCGCATAACAAACAAAATGGAATGAAAAGAGCGCGATAATTAGTGTAGTAATTAGTAGTTACTGCAGCGTTCGTGTCTAAACCTGATTACCAAAACCATGTTTCATTTCTCATCATCTGTACGAGGCAGTAAATTTTTAAACAGCAACGGTTGACAGCCGCCGTTTGATAATAAATAATTATTACTCGCAATTAGAGAGCCACGGTGATTGGCTGAACAAACAATTGAAGATAAAAAAAGGTTGCAAAACATTTTCGTGGTTACAAAACAAAATAACTGCAAATAAGGGCGTAACCACACTTTCGATTAAAGAAAAGTCAAAAACTAGCTATCAAAAAATTAGTTTCACAAAAGGGGAGAGCCAATAGTAGTGTGCGTGAACGGCTTATCGATTCGACGACTACTTGCGGGCGGCTTTCTTCTTGTGCGCCGTATTTGTAAATGTGTGTGTCGTATCTGCGTTCTGGGAAAGCAGTTAAACAGTTCCAAGAAAAATAAACTTTTCCAGACGTTTCGAGAAGGTTCCCGAAAGGAAACAAAAGAGTATTTAAAGGAAGAGGCGATCGCCGAGAGAAAGTAGAAATAAATTGACCGTTGCAGAAGTAAATCAGGAAATAAATTGACAATGATAGCAGTGAAATAAATAGCGCAGTGAATAGTGATATATCAACAGTAGTATAAATAAATAATAATACATTCATAACCTAAGTTTAGTAATAATTTAATAATGTTTTTAAGTTCTTTAATAATTAGTGTAAATGAATAGTTTTTGTCGTTATCAGTCTTAGAAGTTAATTTTGTTAAACCCACGAACATTACAGTAGTTTCTCAAGTTCCAGAGGGTATCAGCAACTCTACCCTACCCTACTGTCCTTATTTACGACCATGACCGTGATAATTTATCTGCTCACAGTCTCTACGAAGTTTCTGCTCTTTTCTAGTCTTCTTGATTTGACTGCGCATCAGTTTCATCATCAGTCAAATCGGATGGGCACTACCTTACTGCGCAACGTCTCTATGCAGTTTCTGCTCATGTATAGTATCATATAAAAAGACAAAAATTCGAAAATCATTCATTTTTAATTCTGTGTCGAATTATTACTCGACAAACTTAATTTGGAGGCAGTCTTGCGTTCATAATGCTCTCGCTCAAACAGGACGAATCACGTGCGGGTTGTTCAAAGAGTTCTATGGTAATTAGAAGTGATCTACTTTAGTTTAATGATAACTCAACATAAGTTAGTTTCCGCAGTTAATATTTTATGTTTTGTGCACGTTCGTGTATTCATATTAAAAAAATAAAATTTGTATTAAAAAATATATAGCGAAAGAGCGAATAAAGATTGGAGACGAAAGATTAGAAAAGTGGCTGATTTTAAGTATCTAGGAAGTGAGATAAATCAGGACGGAAGTAGTAGTAGGGATATAAAGCGGAGGGCAGCGCAAGGTCGAATTGCCTTCAATAAAATGAAGTCACTTCTATGCTTGCGAACGGTTCATTTAGAAATTCGAAAAAGGTTGTTTGGAGCGCGGCGCTGTACGAGTGCGAAACACGGACGGTAGGCGCGGTGGAAATGAAAAAGTTAGAAGTGTCTAAAATGTGGGGTTACAGGCGAATGATGATGATACCGTGGATAGAGAAGGTTAGAAATGAAGCAGTATTAGAAAGAATACGAGAACAGAAGACTCTATGGAAATCAATAAGAAATAAGCGAGATAGGTTGGTAGGACACCTCAGGCATGAAGGTCTAGTCAGAGACAGAAGTTAGGAGGGGTAAAGTTAGACCTAGATTAGATTACTGTTCGCAAATAGTTAAGGATGTGGATTCTTCTAGTTTTAACAATGTGCGAAAATTAGCTTAGGATAAAAAAGAGTGGAGGTGCGTGTCCAATTGCTTAGGACTGATAACCTTATGGTGATGATGTTGTGATAGTTTTTGTTTTTTTTTATGCTGTAATTACTCTCATCATTAATACATAATATTTTATACATTTTTTTTTGTTGGAAGCTTTCGAAAATAATGAAGATATAGTGAGAAGGAGTTAGAAATGAGGAGATATTATAAGGAGTAGGAGACTAGAGGGCGCTATGAAAATCAATAAGAAGTAGGCGAGTTAGGTTGGTAGGAAGGGCTAGTTGAGACATATTAGAAGCAGAAACAGCTAAGAGGACGACTGGTAGACCTAGATTAGATTACTGTTCAAACAGGATGTGGGATGTTCTAGTTTTGATGTCTAATCAGTTTTAGGAGTCATGACTTTATGATTATGACATGAAAATATGGCTGAAGGTATTTTTACGAATTTTCCTGTACCATGTTGTATTTTTCAAAAGATGATGCCGGCCATTCATGTTGCATGTAATAGAATATTTTTATCTTCGGTTCTCAATTTGCCACTAGTGTATGAGCGCTATATAATTATACTTTGAAGTTTAGATTTTAGATAAGTAAAAAATGCTTTTGTGAAAATTGTAATCTCGGTCTCCCCTACTTTTTGTGTGTACGACGTAAACTAAAGCGATCACTTAGCAATTGTTTTATGATCCGTAAACCTTTCACTAACTTAATTGGTATTTTAAAAAATGACGAAAAAGTTGGTCCGGTAAACGACAGAAGTTGTAGAGTTTTCGTGTGACTACAAAGTAAGATATTTGTTTTCTTTTGACTTGGACTTGGTCGTAATTATTTAAAAATCTGCTCGAAATTTAAAACGAAGAAAGTTGAACAAGAAACTGGATTAAGCTCTTTGTTAGAGCTCGAAGAAATTTCCGGCAGAAAGGTCGACAAACAACCTTTTTAACTTCCGAGATGTATTTACTGGAGGAACACGCTTTTTAATTACC